CCCCCACATATACTGGATTCAATTGAAGCCATTGTTCTAAAGCTACATCTATACATCTGCTAGCATACAACAACAACAACATACCCAGTATAATCCCATATAGTGCGGTCTGGAGAGGTTAGTGTGGAGAGGGTAGTGTGTAAGCAGACCTTACCCTACCTTATGGGGTAGATAGGTTGTTTCCAATAGACCCTCGGCTCAGGAATACATCTGCTAGCATATATACTGATAATTGGGAAGACTTAAAAAAGATGGCAGTATACCTTGCTGATAGTGGATAGAGAGTGATTTCCTGATATTTTCCTCTTCCCATTAGGTGAAGCCTCCACAGCACCTTCACCTGAAATTTGGCACTCTTCTTGGGAAAGTGGACCTTTTGAGAAAGTTCCTTCAGTAGGAATTCCTCTGTTCTTGACATAGTTAGGATAACAACTTCCCCCTCTAAGCTGTTCTTGTAATGGAAAAATATTGACTAATTCTGAGAAACTTTCATTTCCAAAAGCAGGAATCTTGGGGACCATTTCAACAAGATTTGGATCAGATGGATAGTGACCAAAATGAGATGATTGGTAGGGCAAATTTGCAAACTCATTGTGACCAACAACTGAAGATCCTTTAAAACTCTCCTTTTGATTCAATGACAGAAGTGGATCCCAACCAGAACCACTAAAAGGGTCAACATTTGGCATTGAAGAAGGACAATTAAAGGAAGTATCACCACCATTTCTCTGTTGTAGCCTCATATCACCATTATCCTTACTGCCCATTTTCAAGAATTAAAGGATCCACAAATTTTATTGGGAACTCAGTTCAAAAAGGCAACACCAATGTAATGTTTTTAACCAAGCCAAGAGTTTGATTGCTATTTGACAGAAAGGAAAGAACAGTGTGTTAAAATAAAAATAAAAATAAAAAGGTAAAGTGGGGTTTGACCAAAAAGAACTGGTAGTAATATCTTGCAGGACTCAACAAGGAACAAAATAACCTTGGCAGCTTTATAGGACTGATGAGAAGAAAGAGGTTAAAGCAAAAGAAATCTCTCAAATCCTACAGACACACACAAAGGTAAAAAGATAACAAAAATCCAAAGTAACAGGCATAAAATCTTTAACCCCCCCTCTTGTTTCAAGAACCCTAGGATCAAGCCTAGTGTAATGAAGGAAAAAGTAATTACCAGAGACAAGAAAGTATGAAACTTTCAGAGCATAAAGTAGCCAATGAACATAGTGAAAAGCATTGGTGAAATAACAGCTAATGAAAAGAAAGCAGATTCCTTTTGTTTATGGAGTATTAAAAACAGCAGAGAGAAAGTTACAAGCTTCACATTAATCTTTAACTGTGCTTTTAACTTCCAGCAAATTCAATATGGGAGAAGAGAATGGGGTGTCAAAGAAAAAAAGATTCTTGTTAGAGAAATATACCAATTGTCTTAGCTGAAGCTTAGAATCAAAGACAAAGCCCCACAAGTATCAAGAAAAAGAATAGACTCAACTAGACTTTTCAAATATTCTGAAATATGTAAGCTAAAAATGACAATAAAAAGCACTAAATTCTAACCCCAATTATATAGCATACAGTAACCTGAATTGGATTTGTGATAGTACCCCCTTTTTACAGCACTTAAATTCTACAGAAGCAGCAAACTTTATAGATCAAATACAACAATTATAGAGAAAGAGAAAATGATAACGAGAAGATAGTAATAAATAAAAATAAAAAAGGGAAGAAAGAGAGAGAGAGAGAGTGAAAGATGTTTTACCAGCCCAAGCAAAATGGTGACATGTATGATTTTAAAAGACATACTACTAACTACTGCCAACTGCCCTTACAGAAATGGTTGCTTAAATTATTACAGAACCTAATCCTTCCCTTTTTTCCCCATACTTTACTCCTTGTAATTTCCTTTCCTTTTAAAATATTATTACTCCTACATACACTCATTCCTATACATTATGCTTCTTTTTTTAATTTCAATTAATAAATGATTTCACATACTTACATTAGATTGAAGAGGTTATTGTTCTTCTCTTGAAGGGCAAGCTTGATAGTATAACTTTTTCTAATTTTTAACTGACACATTTTGCCAACTGTGTTCTCTTTGCTGTTACACACTCAGTGCCAACTAACCTAACAATTCTTTCTACTTAAAACTCATCTTCTTGTTTTTCTGTGGTCCATTAAAATTCATGAGTTGTTGTACTGTTCATTTCTACTGTTGTGTGCTATATATGCATGTCATGGCCCACCAAATCATTTCTCAAATTTGATTGATGATATTATTTACTTACTACTGTACTACTCTGCACTCTTACTTGATGCTTGTACAAATATGGAGATAGGATGTGATATTCCCTACTACAACGTTAAGATTGAGGGTTGAGGCACTAATCATATTGTTTACCACTCTTTTCCAATTTATGTGGATTTAAAAAAGAAAAACTTTTGAAATTTGTAATTTCAAATAACTTATAGATATTTATATACTTATAAATTATCTTATTACGGGTAAAATAAAATTTAATATTAAATTATTTCTATATATCCAAATTAAGAAAGAAGCAGTATATTTTTCCATTTTAACATTAACATTTGATGCACACTCAATTTTACTTACAATCTTCATGTCCAATGAAACAAATATTTAGAGTTTCTTTACTACTTACTTTATTCCAAAAATAATACTAACAAATGGAATTTCACGAGTGGGACATGGGCAAAGTAGTGTGTATGTAGACTTTACCCGCGTAGTGTTGAACCGATGGATTCAATTGAACTCATAACTTTCGACGCGGAGTAAAAATTTATATGTAAAATTCATTAAAATTACAAAAAATAATAGATATGAACCCACAACTTTAAAAATATAATGGATTCAATGTCAAAAACCTTGAAAGTTGAACCCATATGATTTATATCCTGGATCCGCCCCTACCTTAAGAAGACAGAGAATCAATTATCTAATCTCGACATGAATTTAGATATTGATTTCTTAATTTTGTAAAATAATCATTTACATGTTTAAAAGTGACATTAAAAGGTACTATGTAATGTCACAAACATTTCAAAATTAATTTTCTTTTTAGCATCTTAATATCAAAAACTTGCGACTCTATGAAATAAGAATAGTATCATAAAAATATAATAGAGTTGGAATTTCTGTTTCTTTTTCCTTTTCTTTTTCTTGATTTTCCATCCGGTGTCCGGTACTCACATTGGAACCCGATTAAATTCCGATTCTCACCGAAAAATCCAACATTAAGGATAAAGCGTTCCCTATCAAAGACGATTCCACGCTTAGACGACTCCCTAATATCATAAAAATAGAATAGAGTTGGAATATCAGCTTCTCAATAGTACAATATTGAGTTTATAAGAATTTTAATAAAATGGAAAAAAGGTGATAGGGGCCCAAGCCGTGTGGAAAAGAAGCTTGCTTTGATTGATGGGTAGAGAGTAAAGTGTGAGGTTTAAGATTGTACAAATTGAAAAGATAGTGGTGCTGTTGACAAAGTACTGAATATAACTCTCTGGTTTCCATTCATTTTATTTTGTTTGTTAATTGATGTGTCAGTCCTATCTTTTTTTCTTTTCTAAAAGAAAATTAATTGTTTTTAAGAAATAATTGCTTCCCTTTGGACCTTTGGGGTCCTCAGAACAGAACATAAGGAATTAGGGAATCTAATCCCCCATAATTTTACCTCATTGTCCTAGTACTGTTTCCAGCTGTAGGGCTGTCTTTAATATTTTTTCATTTATAGCCACTGTACCTAATGTCCTAACCTTAAACTTCGGTCAAACCATGTTGTCCAGTCAACACTCTCTTAAGGCTGTAATCTTGCTGGAAATTCAAGATTTTTCCTAAATTCACGCCTTATTAGCTCCCCCTTCCAATTCTTGATTAACTTTCGACCAATATTTGATTATTGATTCATATAGTTTCTATCTGGGACGTAAAATGGGGCGTTTCACTCAACGTGAGGTGAAGCGTAAGCTCCGAGACATGGGACATAAGTCCCATAAAACTTTAAAACTTTTACTTTATATATTAATAAAATATTACAATAGCTATAAAAATATATAAAGTACATTAAAAGGTAAAGAAAATTGAAAAGGATTAAACAATTCATAAAATAAAGATATCTATTTTTTATAAATATAAACAATGCAATAGTGTAAAAGTAACAGCAACAACAACAATCCAGTAAAATTCCACAAATGAGATCTGAGGAGAGTAAAGTGTACACAGACCTTACCCCTATCCCAAGGGGTAGAGAAACTGTTTCCGATAAACCCTCGACAATAGTATAAAAGTAACTGTGAGATAAAAATCAAATATAACATCTTATCTTTCAATAATTAAAAAATCATAACTTCTTAAAAAATGTTAACGAACTACATTTATTTCTCTAAAAGTTAATTCATCGGCATTGTAATTTAAAATATTACTCCTTATGGGTACATATAAAGTTGCTTTCAAATAGAAATATAATACAAATTTGATAATTTTGAGAGACATAGAACTAAGATATTGAAGACCTATAGTATGTGAAAATGTAAATTTTGACTATTTATTTAGAAGAAATATTCTCAATTAGTAAATATGCAATACAATAGCCTCATTATTTTGAGTTACTCTCCGTCTTCATATTTCTATAGATGAAATAGAACTTTAATCATTCATTTTCTAAACAGTTTTGAAGGTCGGCAGTACTAATTAGGGAATTCAACGTATGATTTGCGTAAGGAACTGTTAGGCGAGCCCCAAGAATTAAGCGATAGGAGTGTTTCGGGCACACAGTCGGGCGTTTGGAGCATAAGCCTCACAGAACTAAGCTCCACACGTGATCCTCATGGTGTTTTGATAGTGCCCCGCTTTGGCCGAGCCCCAAGGCGAATCCCAAGAAAGCCTGATTTCTATTACTATTTGTCGTTTCCTGCCATCTTTTTTTGGTAAATAAAGAATTTTTATTAACCAACTGGAAGAATTACAAGCAAGAAAGAAAAAAACTAGAACCTAACTTATAGGTCCAGAAACTAGAAAACATGATAACTCCAGAAAGCACCATAATACCTCTAGCTACACTTTCTGATTACAAGTTCTATGCAGGATAGAAATTCAAGTTTTCCAACTGTGCCTTGATTTGTCCTTCACGAAATATCTCCTGGATGACCTTTCTTACAATAGATTCCGCACTTGTATTTTTGCATTGAAAAATCCTCATGTTCCGCTCTTTCCATACATGATACACACAACCTGCAACAGCCATTATATAAATGTGTGCACTGACAGCTTTCCCTTGCAATTATTCGTCATTCATTCCAGTTCCTCTTGCCAGGTTAGAGCTTGGCGATTAATACCTTGCCAGCGAAGCAGCTTGCTCTACACATTAACAACGAATTGACACTTAAAGAAGAGGTGAGACACGGTCTTCGATTCAGCCAAACATAAAGAGCAATCTGTATTCACATTTACTCCCTGCTTTGCTTTTCCAGTCTATCCTTGGTAGTCAATCTTCCCAAAACAGCCAATCTGATAAAGATCCATTTGAGAATTCCATAGTTATTACATACTAATCTCCTCAAAAGTACCTTTGAAAAAACACCCAACAACTTCTGATATAAGGCTTTGATAGAGATGGTTTTAATATCCTGAAAGCTTGTAGAGCCATACCCAGCCTCTTCAAAATATTTCTTAGCTTTGAAAATCTTCTGAATCACCTATGAAGCTCGTCTCCCTGTTTCACATAGCAAGTATTGTATCCAGAGTGTATCTTTTTTCTTACTTAGATTCCATAATAATTTGGCAATCGCTACTTTATTCCATGTTTTGACATCTACCATATTCAACCCACTAGCTGACTTAGGATAGCATAGCTTATCCCAAGCAATTAGAGCCTTTTTTGAAGTTTCAATGCTAACAAAAATCTTCTACACAATGCTTCAATCAATTTAGTAATCGTTATTGAAAGAACAAATACGTGGGACCAAAATGTCTGTATAGAAAATAGTACATTTTTAATCAGTTGGACCTTGCCTACATAGGATAGGAATTTTGTTGTCCATTATGTTATTCTTCCAGTCATCTTTTCCAAAAGAGGTTGGCACTGCAATATGGATAATTGTTTTATGCTAAGGGGCACATCAAGATACCTGAATGGCAATACACCTTTACTAACTCCGAGTATCTGAAGGATCTGCTGTTATATTACTTTCTTCACCCACCAAAATAAATTGAGCTCTTGAGAGATTAGCGATCAGTCAAGATGCATCTGAAAACATCTTGAAGCAATCATATAGGTGTGTGATAGATGTTATGTCTCCTCTACACAATAATAGTAAATCATCAGCAAACCCAAGTTGAATAAATTTCAATTTAGAACACTTTGGATGGTACTTGAAATTTTTAGCAGTATCTAACGTCCTTAACACTCTGTCAAAATATTCCATGACATGCACAAAAAGGAAAGGGGGGAGGGGATCTCATTTTTCCAATCCTTTTTTAGCTTCAAAAGGTATGGTCAGCTTTCCATTAATGACAATAGAATAAGAAACTATTTTGCACATGCCAGAATCCACTTTATGAACTTCTCAGGGAAGCTTAGGTGAATCATAACCTGCTCAAGGAAAGGCCATTTTACTGAGTTATAAGCTTTTTGCATATCAATCTTCAACATACACCTCAGGGAGATGTCCTTTTTACTATACTCTTTGACCAATTCGTGTCCAAGAATAATATTATCTGCTATTATCCTCCCTGGAACAAATGCAGCCTGACTTGAGTCTATTAAACTATCCACCAATCTTTGCATTCCTCTAGTAATAATTTTTAAAATGATTTTTTATAGTGTAGTACAACAAAAGATGGGCCTAAACTCTTTGATGGTGGAGGCATTCTTTACTTTTGGTATTAGTGTCACAGATATACAGTTGAGAGGCTTGCACATATTAGCATAATCAAAGAAACC